TATATGGCCATTCTTATAACTTTTCTATAGACTCTTGTAACCAGTGCATTGTTGAATCAGGCATTCTGTATTATGTGAAGGCTGTTAATTATTTTGTACAAAAGTTCTAAATCCTTGATTACTTGTTGTCTGCTTGATAGATCGATTACTAAGAGAGGTGTTTTTAAAAGCTCCTACCATGTTGGTGGATTTGTCAATTTTTTCTTGTAGCTTTGTCAATTTTTTTAAAAAATGTATTTTGAAGTTGTACTAACAGGGCAGACAAGTTAGAGTAAGCCATTTTCCAGTGTTTGTCATTTTATCTCTAGTAATTCTTTTCAATTTAAACTTTATTTGCCTACAATGAATATAGCTACATACAGAATGCCAGACACTTTGTTTCTGTTTTGCTTTTTCCATACTTTTGCTTTTATCCTTCCTCTGTGTTTCTGTTTTCATTTGCCACTCATTCATGGAAAAGAGCTAGATTTTTAAATCCACTCTTTGAACTGGAGTGTTTAATACACTTACACTTATGATTACTGATACATTCATGTTACTTTCTACCTTCTTATTTTGTGCTTTCTATCTATCTTACCCTTTTCTCTTTCCCCCTTTCCTGCCTTTTTGCAAATTGACTGGACCTTTTCCTCATTCGAATCTTCCCCTTATTTGGAATTTAAAAACTCTGTTTCTAGAAATTTTAACTGTACATTTAACCTAACAAAATCGAACATTAATCTCTTTACTGGGATATGTCTCGCCAGTTAATGAGCTCACCCACTCCTAGGCACTAGTCTATGTCTATGTAGGCACAGTCTTGGGTTCTAGAGAAATCTACCACCATCAGGCAACCCAGGCCTCCCGGTGGTTTAGTCGTGCTATGCCCATGCTCTTGCCCCATCCAGGGTCTTGCAGGAGCCAGCCGTGGAGATTGGGCTTTGAATGCCTTTGCTCCTTTAAGCCCTGGTGTCTTCCCACGTGTGTTTCCACACTGTTAGCCATCTGAGTCCCATGAGCATGGCTGATACCTTCACCGATGTCGAAGCCAACATTTTGGAAGGTCCTAGGGGTTGGTCCACTGCCTTCTTCATGCCATTGGTACAAATGAGACACTTTGGACTTTTGCCTATTGATAGAAACACCAGAAAAACCCATTATGATCAGAGAACAGGGACAAGGACCCAGGGAGAAGCTACGTCCCTGCTTTCAGCTCCCCATTGTCCGCCTGGAGGATGGCATGATTGAAGACAGCAGGATCAGAGAAGGAGGAGGAACTGGAGGATGGAAGAGCAGGTGGGAGCAGCTCACCTTTCCCGCTGTCTCCTGGAGCGACAGGCAAACACCAGGAGGATGGCCAGGATGATCAGCAGCACCCCGGCCGCTGCCCCCAGGAGCCCATACAACAGGGTCTTCCTGATGCTCCACTGGCAGGTTTCTCCGCTATACCAGTGAGTGTCCGAGGTCAGGCAGCTGAGATGCGAAAGAAGGATGAGGTGGGAGAGAGATATCAGAGTCAGCATTAGCCTCAGCACTGGGCCCTCCTCACGGGTGTTTAACGAGGAGAAAGTGAAGAAGAGATTGCCAGCGTGCAGAGCACGGAGCACCGAGCGGCTAGAGGAGATGACGTCCAGCATCCACGGAGCTGGTCCTTACGTGGACCCAATACCTTTAGGTTTTACCTCCAGTGGCAACCAGGACCTGGGAGAGTTAGCCCAACCCTGGGGCTTCCCTCGGCTGCGCCCCAAGGACTCGAGGACCCCACAGCAACAACCTTTCCACCCACCCATTTACTGTCCTCATTTTCAGCCCTCCTTTGTATCAGAAAAAGCCATCTCCCATCCCTGATCCGGAGCTCTCATTCCACCTGTGAAGCTCTTCCTCCCCTGAGATGCCCTCTCTAAGCCCTGTGCCTTTCCTGCCCATGTCAGCCTGTGACCCCCTCCTCCAGGAAGCCTTCCCAGGATAACTGCTCAGACCTTCACGCATGTGTGGCCCCCTCCCCCTCACCTGGTGCTCCAGCTCTCTCTCTTTGGTGCAGTTTCTGGTGGCGGTGCCTTTCTTTGCTTTCCTACCTCTGCGATTCAGCTTTACAGGCTCTCCCCCTCCCCATACAGGTGTGTGGCCTTCTTTCTCTATGTCACCAGCAGGGCATGTTCTCTCCCTGGAAGGGAGGCCCTGTCTTCCCTGTCGGTCTGGGAGCTTCCTGCGGCTGGGGCCTTTCTTCTTCCTTCTGGGAGCTTGTCACCATCGTCCACCTTGCTCAGCACAGGGTGGACACCAGGAGGGCAGCTACTGAGCTGTTCTCAGCCTGTTCTGGACCTGGCCTTGGCGCTTGTCCATGCCCCTCCTTCCCAATTCCTTTGTGGCTGGATGCATTGAGGACTCAGTCCTATAACCTTGGCTTCCGGACAATGCCTTGAGGGGAGGAGAAGAAGGCTGGGGATGTGAGGGGGGACACTCACTAGCACCGGGGGCCACTGAGCTCCACCATGCACTCGCCGGCATTACAGTCCATGGAGGTCGTGAAGTCAGATGCGCAGGAGGAGATGCAGTATGGGTTTCCGTCCTTGTACTCCACAAAGAAGTAGTCGGCGTACTGCCCAGCCAACTTCTTGCATTCCTCTGAGGGGGCATGGAGGAGCGGCTGTCACCAGGGGCTGGGACCACTGCTCCCGCTCTTCCTTGGCTCCCCCACTTCCCCAGCCCTTCCCAAAGCCACTGGCATCACCTACCTTCAGGATCATAGTCAATAACAACATTTAGCACCTCGGTGGCACTGACATTGAAACACATTATATCTGTGAAGGAGACACACAAAACTCCTTACAACAAGCTTGCTGGCATCATGGGGGGTGGGCGGTGCTGAGAGGCGTGTGTGAGAGAGAGGTGGGTCCCCGCAGAAGTGGAGTGCCAGCCTCAGGTCCCCAGAACGGGGACCTCCCAAGGGTCCTGTGCCTCCTGCATCCTTTTCTTCTCATAACCGCCCTCCCCCACCAAGATCCCCACATTGTTCACGGTGCGTAGAAGAATCGCTGTGTAACAAGTCACACCAGTCCTCACTTTCCAGCAGACTCCCCTGAATACTGGCCGCACGGGACTTGGCCTGCGTGTGTACCTGGCTCTGCATCCTCCTTTCCAAGGCTCTCTTGGAATCTGCCAGGCTTGGCTTCGGGGCTGATTCCTGGATCCCAGTGCTCTCCCCCTCTCTCCATCTGCCTTACTCCCCTACCCCACCCCAGCAGCAACATGGGCCGGGGGATGTTGTGGGGGAGAAAATTCTCTGAAGGCCCCTCTCCTCCCTCCCTGGAAGCCTGGGCAGTTACCTTTGCAGGTATAAACATCGCCTATTTGCACTCGGGTCACATAGGTGATGTTCTCGATCACCTTCTGGGCGGCCTTGTCTAGGACTTCCTTGAATTCCGGGGTGTAGTTGGTGCTGAGGAAGACCGTGTGCTCCACCACCACACTGCCTTCCCTGAAGAAGGAGCAGAAGCATCCGTGGGTCTCCTCCCACAGTGGGATTTGGTACTCATCTCTCCCACCCCTGCCCCAGGCAGGCGTCGCCCTCTCTGCTCCCATGTGAAGGCAGAGCTGGGGGGAGGGGACGGTTAAAACGATGGCCCTACACCTGCGGGTGAGTGCTCTGTTCCAGGCACTTCACTGTTAGACTTCATATAATGGCCTACACATAAGAGAACAATTCTGCAAAGGTCAGGCTCTCAGAAGCCCAGGGAAGGCTCAGCAGATAAAGACGGGCGACAGAGGGATGGGGACCCTGGAGGAGGCCATCCTTGTGTTGTCACTCGACGTATTCAAGCAGGAGACTGGGCAGGCCCTGGCAAGGTGTCCTGAAGGGGTCTCAGGCCATGAAGTAGGAGGTCAGGTCACAGCAGGGCCTCTTACAGGGGTCAGGACTCCCTAGGGAGGACTGCAGGAGGTCTGTCATCCTCTTATGACTATGCAAAAATCTGAAGGTGCACACATGCATTTTTTTCTAATTGCACACATTTTTATCAATTCTAAAATGTTGTCTGAAACCTGAAAGGTTAAAAGTCCAGCCAAAAGTCTCTCCCAAGCCTTAGGACTTAGTCTGCTTAGGACTCAGGAGTCACAGGCAGTGCCGTCAGAAGAGCGGCCTCCAAACGTCAAATGTCGCAGCCCATAGCACAGCCCACCACACATTTTCCTCTTCTCGGTTTGAACCCCCAGTTAGAGGGTGGAGCTTCTGTGTTTACAAAAAAGAATGGAAATCCCTTTATGTCCACAAGCTTGTATTCCAGAATGCAAATTGCTTCTCTCCCACCAGGGAAGGGGTTATTTGCACAGGAATAAGCATTTTCTGGGTTTAACAATAGAGTGAAAGCCCAGCCTTCCTATGATCACAATCCAAGATTCCTAAACACTGGAAGACAGAGGCACTCTCTTTTCCTTTCTTTCTCCTTAATGCTACATTCAGAGCCTTAAACATAAATAGATTTGGGGGAGATACTCATAGGAGAACATTAGAATTAAACTAACACGTAGAATAATAGAACAATATATAGGATGTCATATTGTTATCTAAATAATATATACAATATAACATAAAGAATAGTATAATTAGAACCACTCATAGAATAACATCAGATTTAAAAGGGATCGGGAGATCTTTTCGTTCAAGGCCAACTTCCACAATAAGAAAGTGACGTTCCCAAGAAGCGCACTTGGTGGTGGGCCTGGGGCATCTCCCAGGCTTCATTCCTGCCTCTTATAAAGGCATCACATCCTAGGAGTTAGAAGATGGAAGTAAAACCCTGGCAGTGGCCTTAAACAGCAGTATGACCATGCACCAGTCACTGGGCCTCACGGGGCTTTAATTTCCTCATCTGCACAGTTGGGGGCTGGACAGACAGATGGTTCCAGAGCCCCTCCTTCCTTGCTATGGCAGTGGATGACTCTCACTTCTAATCTGCCCACTCCCAGACCTCTCTGGAGCTGCTCTCTGGGCGAGGATCACTTTCCTGCTGGGGATTTTCCAGTAGCCCTCAGAGCCCGGCTCCTCCTCCATCTGGCCTGGGCAGATGGAGTAGATGGAAACACGGGGTGTACACCTGATCACTACAGGGCTCACAGGGGGCTTGTGGTGGGCCAACCCAGGGAGGACAGCCCCGGGAAACTGTCAGGCACAGGCTGAGACCAGAAACGTAAGGCCACAGGCTCAGTGCCTCAAGAGCCCTCTGTTCCCCTCTCCTTTGAAAATAAGGATCAGAACTGACCCTACAGACCCCCACCCCCACCAAGGGGACAAAAGAAAGCCCTACAGAGTCAGTGTTAGATAAGCATGAGTGGGCTTTGTTTTGTTTTGTGGCGTCTGGCCAGTACAGGGTTCCGAACCCTTGACCTTGGTGCTACCAACACCCCACTCTAACCAACTGAGCTAAACAGCCAGCCCTCAGGGTTAGACAGAATTGAGACAGAAAGATGGACAGAGGCTGTTTGACTCTCGTTGTTTTTCTGTAGTTTTTGTGCCATTCCATTTCCTATTGATTGTTAAGTTCCTTTTGAAAATTATCGATCATGACTCTGATAAACCATGAGAAGAGATCTTCCCCCTGGATGGTGAGGGACCCATGCAAGCCCTGTCAGCCGGCACCATTCAAAGGGTTTCACAAAGTTGGGGTCGACAATAAGGGAAAGATTCTGTGGGGACAGAATAGAATAGGTGAGTGGAAGTGAATACAGGAAGATTGTGGCCTCGGAAGCCCTTTTTGTCCTGGTTTCCCCATCTCACGCTAAATGATTGAGCTTCATCTCTGGAGACTATTGGGGTGTCCATCATGCAAGCTGTAGCTTCCAGGTTTTCTGGTTTGTCAGTCTGTCCCTAACATAATGGGACTTCTATTTGAATCTTGGCCCTGCCACTCTATAACCGACCCCTCAAGCAAGTCATTACATCTCTCTGAGTCTCAGTTTTTTCAGCTGCATGGTGGGAACAATCCTGCTGGCCTCCCTCATAGGGCCGTTATAAGATTTCAATGGGAAAATGTATGTGAAATTATTGTTGGGGGGGTGTAATGGGCTGAATTGTGTCCCTCCCAAATTCATATGTTGAAGCTCTAACCCCCAGAACCTCAGACTGACTGTATTTGGAGATAAGGCCTTTAAAGAGATGAGGCTGTCAGGGTGGGCCCTAATCCAATCCAACTGGTGTCCATATAAGAAGAGGAAATTTGAACACACGAGAGACGGCAGGGAAGTTCACACACAGAGGAAAGACTATGCGAGGACACAGCGAGAAGGCGGCCATCTGCAAACCAAGGAGAGAGACCTCAGCAGAAACCAAGCCCACCACCACCTTGATCTTGGACTTCCAGCCTCCAGAAGAGTGAAGGATAAACTTCTGTTGTTTAAGCCCCCCAGTCTGTGGTACTCTGTTATAGCAACCCTAGCAGACTAGCCCAGGAGACATAGTTACAGTTGCCTTTATAACTATGGCTATTGCTCCTGCTCCGGAGACCCTCTTCCTACGAGCCTCAGATACTCACGTCAGACTTACGATGTTCACCCCATCATACTCAGGGATCCCATGGTAGGCAATATTCATCTGAAAGACAAGGGGCCACTGTGTCATCCCAGAGGTCCCACCTGGGGGCCTGACAGGCTTTTCTGTCAGGAAAAGGTCAGGAGGGTGGAGGGTGACTTTCCTGTCCCACTGTCTTGTCTTTGTCTGCACCCCTAGCTGGCAGGTAGCACACTGGCCAAATGTAGTGGTCGCTTCCCAGAAACCAGCCCCACCCCTGGCCCCCACAGCCTCAGGTGGGAGCTTGCTTCATCTTTCACTTCCCTCACGGGCAAGTCCTGAGGACACGGGGGAGCTGAGAAGCTTGCATGTGTCTAGCAAGCGAGTGGCCCTCAGCTGCTTTCTAAACCCCTACGGACTCCCCCCAGGAGGGACTGAGTGGCCAAGGGGACTTGCTCTCCCAGTCTTACCTGTTTTGTGAAAGTCTCATTGAACTTCTGGAATTCCTCGGAAGACCGGTTTTGTAGTGCAATGGTGTACACCTCACTGGTCACTGTCACTGTCAAGTTCACCAGGGCAGAGACTGTCTTCGGCGGTTGCCCTGAGCGGGGTGGACAGCAGCAGCAGTTACTGAGCAAAGCGTCCCTTGTGCTCCCGCCCCAGGAGACCGCACCCCCAGCATCTCCACCCTGGGCCTCCCCTGCTCCCTGCTCCTACCCTTCTGTCTCCCCAGAGTGCCCCTGGAGGGAGGGGGACACACACTGCATTCCTCGTGGCTTAGGGATGGAGACCAAGGGATGTTGGGTCTCATAATGGCTTAGAGAATTCCACATGTTTTGCCTTCTGCTGCCCTGAGTGTATTTTATGACAAAATTCTGTGCCAAATTTGCATTTTGTTCCAAAATACATCTTCTTGTTTTATTCACTTTTTAATGTTTTCACTGTCTTACCACTGGGTAAAAAAATATGGCCCAGAAGAGGCCACGTTCCCAGCCACGCACTAAGGTGGGGCGGGAACGGTGCTGGTGTGGAGGCTGAGCACAGCGCTGCAAGGGGAAGGCCCTGGGGTCCCGCTTACCTATGTCGATGATGGGGTACACTTTCTCACAGCTTTTTCCATAGAATTGGGTGGGGCACTGGCACTTGAGCCCGTCCCAGGTGCCTCCGTTCTGGCAGGGCCCTGGAAGAAACAACCCCTGCTCGACCACACGTACCGGCCCAGCACTGGACAGTTGCGATGTGTTTTCACAGACACTGTCTGATTTGATATTTTCATGAGACAATGACGTGCACACGATAGTCTCATCCCCACTTTATAGACAGGAGAAATGAGGTGGAGACAGACTGAGAGAACCAACCTAGATTCCACCCAGACTGACAAAAAGCTTTGTCATTGTCCCACGAGACCCGCTTCAGGAGAGCCCATGCTGGAAATTGTTACCATTACGAATGCTTATAATTCCTTTTTAACTTACTGGGATGGGGAGTTTGAGGGAGGAGTATAGATCTCAGTTTAAATAGATAGGATGTGGTTATGGACAATATCCCGATATCTGTGCCAGACAACCTGGAAAATCTAAAGCTCTGATCACTTTGACTTTTCCTGAAAATCGCTGTGCCTGCGTAGACCCGTGTTCAAGGTGTGTTTTGTTTGGGGAGGCACAGGAGTTATGCACATACTCCACAGAGACCCGCCGCACCTCTGCCCACCAGACTCAGAGCAGGGGCCCCACCCGTGGCAGCCACATCATGCAGCCTCTGTTTATAGACCTTTGTCCAAGACATTTGGGGAGTATGGAAGGGATAAATCAAGAGTCCAGGTCACACTGGAGACTCATAAACCCTAAATCAGGCTCATTCTCTCTCTGTCATTCCTGAAGCCGGCCAGACCTGATCTAAGTGCCCAAGCACCTGCTCCCCAGCAGTCTACAGGCAAGACCAGGCTCTGGTGGTAGGAGGAGGACAGAAGGGGGACCATCTGCCTTCAGAGAGGTGGCCGACACCAGATTGTGGAAGCGGTGGCAGTGCAGCCACCTGGCATTTGCTGAGATTCCTATGGCACTTCTTGGGGACACAAGGTCCAGATCTCCCACCTGAAGATGTTCAGGTCCCCACCTGAGAACCAAAGAGCTCAGCAAGAAGAACACATGTTGGAGAGAAACCAGAAAATGAAGCCACACTATAGGAAGGCCATGCAAAGTAGAACTCAACAGAGGAAGGAATCACAAAGCCCTGAGCAAATGTAGCAGCCACAAGCTGAAAAACCGCCTTTCAACTTTGTCAGTTCAAGACCACATTGTGCAGGGCCCAAGGCAGATGAGGATCACAGATCTTTGAGCATGTCTCTGGCTCACTTCAGCCAATAAGTGTCTTCCGGTATTTTAATTGGTATACTTTCCTCACTGCATGCCAGAAATCTCTTCTCAACCTGGAAATAGTATAATTGTATCATACCAGTAAGAGCGGACTAGCAGACCCAACACTAACCAGAGGAAAGAGAGCCCAGAGAAAGCTCCATAGTCCGAGAAGAGAGGGGGAGACCTAAAGACAAAGAAGCACCCTAGGCACGGAGATGGAGTTGAGAGCTGATAGAAGGGAAGAAACGTCCTTTGCCGCTGCACTGGGTGTTGGGGAGGATAAGATGAAACAAAATACAAGCAAATGGCAGGAGGAATCATTGCCAAAAGTACACATGAATGATATTTGCAACAACCTAATACAAAAAAAATAAGAAAAAGAAAAAAAGTCCCATGTAAATATGAATGAGGTCAATGGGAAAAAATACTTTAAAAAGTGACTGCTAAGAAAAATGCAGAGATAATGACAAGCCCTATGAAAGGATTTGGGACAGAGACGTGCAGAATACAAAAGAGAGGAAACAGGATGCAAAGGTTTAAGAAGAAAACCACAAGGGGGTGAGGAGGGGTTGAGGGTGGACAAGAAACTTAGAGTGAAAACTAGGTAGAGTGAAAACTAGAATTCAGGACACCACCTACCCGCTGTGCTTGCTGCAGAGCTTGCAGTAGAGCTGGGGGTTGTGGGGATGGAGCTGGAGACAGGCCTGGTGGCATCGGGGGTGCTGCTCTGAGTCTCAGAGGATTAGAGTGAAAACTAGAATTCAAGACACCACCTACCCGCTGTGCTTGCTGCAGAGCTTGCAGTAGAGCTGGGGGTGGTGGGGATGGAGCTGGAGACAGGCCTGGTGGCATCGGGGGTGCTGCTCTGAGTCTCAGAGGAGGAGAGAGGGGGAGGGGAAGAAATAATGGAACTCAGAGCCACAGAGGAGGTGCTGGCCTGTGTGGTTGTAGTCCCAGGAGTTGTAGTGACAATACAACTTATAGAAGATGTGGTGGCCTCTGTAGTTGCTGTCCTAGCGGTGGCAGTCTCATGAGGACTCGCAGAGGAGGTGCTGGCCTGTGTGGCTGTAGTCCCAGGAGTTGTAGTGACAATACAAGTTACTGAAGGAGTGGTAGCCTTGGCGGTTGTTATGCCACTGCTGGTATTGCGACTAGAAGTGATTGATGACATGGTGGCCTCTGTAGTTGTCTTCCCCGGAATGGCACTATCACTTCGAGTTACTGAAGATGTGCTGGCCTTTGTGGTTGTTGGCCCCCGGTTGGCATTTTCACTAGGAGTTGCTGAAGATGTGGTGGCCTCTGT